CATGAGATGTCCGCTGATATGTCAATGATATGCTAATTGTATTGAACGGGTGATGACCTAATGAATGGTATGTCTTGTGTTGTAGTGATGATAGCGACCGAAGAGGAGATGGACAGCGGAAAACTGGATCCGCCGAAGAGGGACTACTGCGCGCACCGGCTGCTGGAGCTGCGCGGGTGTCTCAAGTCGAACTGTCCATTCTTCCTGAGGTGCAAACACGAACTCCACACTTACCACGAGTGCGAGTGGGAGGACCAGGTCTTGAGGATGAAGGAGTGGGAGAGGGAGAAGAGACTCAGACAAAGGGATTATAGGAATGAGTTGAAGGCCAAGAGGGAGGAAGGGTTGGCCGCTTAGGGCGAGCCCAACACTGGCATAGATTGTCACCCATTTGTTCCCATGGGTTGTGCGGATCAGTGGACAGACAATGAGTTTGTTATAGAGTTTTACTAAATAATTGGGTCTTCGCTCGACTTAAATGTATATTGAATTGAATTTTTTGTTTGAAATTTAGATTTGATTTAAATTATAGTTTTAACCAAATATTTGTAGATTTTTTTGCCACAAGAATATCAATAAAAATCTTAAATATTATTTCATTGATTGAGCGCTTGTTTGCCACACATTTTGATTGCAATTTACATAATTTTGTGGTCATTGATGGGAGTTTGAGCTAATGGTTAGCATAAATCCACTTCGGATTAGCAGATGATCTTACAGTGGATTAAGTGGCAGAATGTGACCGAAGAGTGGTTTGAATGTCTGTCCATAAGATGTCGCCATCGGTGAAGACAAACCGGTCTTAGATTTGTTGACAAGTTTTACAAGTTTTTTAAAACACGAGTCAATACTTGTGTTGATGTCACTCATGGGAAGACATCACTACCTCTTAAGACATGAAGACATAAAACAATAGCTTTCGTGACAATTATCCATTGGATATGCAATAAATTCAAAGTCAGATAAATGTCTTGCGATGTCTTCGACGGACAGCAAACCGAAAGCGAAGTTAAGATCGAGAACAGGAAGTGTTGGCAACAAAGTGACAGAAAAGCAATCTTCAGATGAAAACAATACCATAGATGACCAGCAGATGTATCTGTATTTGTCGTTCGCTGCCATTACTATCCTATCGTTTGGGACCAGACTTTACAAGATATCGGAACCCAATCACGTCTGGTATGAAAGCAATGCCATCATATGGATGATAAGTGTCACTAATAGCTGATCCAATGTGTTATAGTTGGGATGAGACCCACTTCGGGAAGATGGGCAGTTGGTATATCAACCACACCTTCTTCTTCGACGTTCACCCGCCACTCGGGAAGGTTTGAGCCATTGATTGACATTTGCTTTGCTTTGTGAGAGTATTTGTATTAATGGATTGAGTGTTGGATCAGATGCTGATAGGACTGTCCGGACACCTGAGCGGATACAACGGCACGTTTGCGTTCAACAAACCGGGCGACAAATATCTGGATCAGCCGTACGTCGGGATGAGACTGTTTTGCGTCACTTTAGGCGCACTTATAGTTCCCATGAGTTTCGTAATCGTATGGAAACTCTCAAAATCGATCACTTCTTCCACTTTGGCATCACTTCTACTTATTTTCGGTATTTTTGCAATTATTTTCTCCATTAAATGATTCACTCATTTGCTGATCACATAGACGTAGGAATGATAACTCTCTCGCAATACATACTTCTGGATCCGATTCTCATGTTCTTCATAACGGCCTCTGCGTTGGGAAGTGTTATGTTTGGCTCTTATGGTGATAAGCCATTCACTACGAAGTGGTGGTTCTGGTTGTGTTGGACCGGAGTCTTCCTCTCGTGCTCCATAAGGTCTGCGAATTTATGATTGACTCAAGAATTGTTTAAATTAAAAGTTTTATTCTTGAAAATAGTGTCAAATTTGTGGGATTTTTCATTATACTTCTGGTGGGCTTCCAGACAATCGCCGATTTGTGGCAAATATACGGCGACCTCTCGAACCCATTATCACTGGTTGTCAAACATTTTGTGGCTCGCGCTCTGTGTCTGATAGCAATACCGCTAATACTTTATATGACATTCTTCTGGATTCATTTGAAAGTGTTGTATAAGTCTGGAAACGGCGACGGATTCTTCAGCTCAGCCTTTCAGTCACAACTTGAGGGCAATTCTCTATACAACGCATCGATGCCCCGGTATATCGCTTACGGCGCTGTCGTTACGCTTAAGAATCACCGCACCGGTGGAGGCTATTTGCACTCTCATTGGCACCTATATCCTGAAGGTGTTGGCGCTAAACAACAACAAGTGACCACATATTCACATAAAGACGACAACAATAAGTGGCGGATCAAGAAATACGACTCCGAACCCAATGCTAATGAAGGAGACATTGAATTCGTGAAGAATGGAGATTTGATTCGTTTCGAGCATTTGGTGACCACTCGTAACATTCACAGCCACAAAGAGTCGGCGCCCGTCACTAAAAAACACTTCCAGGTTTGGCACCGTTTAATAATAGACTTGTAATTAATGACTAATTGAGTGGATTTTTTAGGTGACCTGTTATGGAGACAATGGAACGGGTGATGCGAACGATGTGTTCAGAATTGAGATAATTGGCGGTCGAGAGGAACAGGTGGTGGAAACGGTGACCAGTAAGATAAGACTGGTTCACTATCTGATGAACTGTGCGCTACACTCGCACTCCAAACAACTTCCGAAATGGGGTTTCGAGCAAATGGAGGTCTCGTGTTCACCGAACCTATTGAATGCCAACATCTACTGGAACTTCGAGGACAACCACTTCCCACGTCTGCCGAACGTGAGCTTCGAAGTGTATGCGCCCTCCTTTTGGGAGCGCTTCACCGAATCGCATGCAGTCATGTTTCAGGGAAATGCCGGCCTTAAGCCTAAGGAGGGAGAGGTGACGTCCCGGCCCTGGCAGTGGCCCATCAACTATAAGGTTCGGCATTTCACTCGTTTATTGCTATACAGTATTACTTATGCATTGAATTATTTATTTCAAACCTTAGGGACAGTTCTTTTCGGGCAACGAATACCGCATTTATCTGTTGGGAAATCCGATCATATGGTGGACCAACTTCTCACTCATTTTCATCTATAGTTTTATTCAGTTCTTTATATCCGTTCGCCGGCAAAGGGGTTGTCTTGAGGCCCAACACATCGAAGCACAGAATACTCGCCTAACAAATGCTTCCGTTTGGCTGTTCATTGGTTGGGCTCTCCATTACATACCGTTCTACACGATGGGACGGGTCCTATACTTTCACCACTACTTCCCCGCCTCTATCTTCAGTTCGATGCTGTCGGCAGTGATTATCGACTATATGTTGCGAGTAATCCCACAATTAGTGTACCCATCCCTCGCCCCCACTGCTTATCACACGCTTTTAGGCGCATTTTTGTCGGTTATTTGTTACAGTTTCTACTTATTCTCACCATTGAGTTACGGTATGTCTGGCCCTCACTCTCATGAGTCCAATAGTACAATGTATGGACTCAAATGGCTGGACTCCTGGGAGTTCTGACCATTCATTTCATAATAATTTTAATATAAATTTATATTTAATATATACAGTATTTACAAATGAGATTTGATTTAATATAATATTCCTATATTATATTGTATGGTAGCTTTTTTAATGATCACCAGAGTATGTTTATGTCTTATAAAAGTTGATATTAAATGAATTTTTAATTGTCATTTAATCTAAGACTAGGAATCAATTAATCGCAATCATCGGACAAATCATTTTTTATTTATTTTATAAATCAAATCATTATTTTAACAAAAAATTTATTTAAACAAACTTATCGTAAATTTAATTAAAATATTTGTTTTTTTAATTTGTGTAAGAATTGTGTATTTATTTTATAGTTTTAATAATTTAATAAATAGGATTTAATAGCTCTTACGTTTTGGTCCCATTTATTATGTAATTCAATTGGGAAACGGATTTTAGAGGCTTTTACACAACTTTTCTAACGTCTCGGTGGGAAAAATGAAATTCTCGAAAAATTCTACATAAAAAGGGATTTCATCTATGAGTTGATCTAAAAGTTTGTTTTTGTTGTTTAATTGCAAATTAATCTTCCGTTTGTTCTCTAAGCTTAAGAATGTTTAACAAATAAAAGTTTTTGATTAAAAAACACAGAATAAATTTACACTAAAAAAGGTTTATTTCAATTAATAAACCGATTCCGCATAAAAATAAAAAACTTCTTTAGTAAACATTTTCGTAAACATTAAAATTAATTAAAATTTAATTAATGACTACAAAGATCAATTTATTTAAGTTGTGATGAGATATATATTGAGAAGTGAGCGAACAAATGACAAACCAATTAATATAATTAAAGTCTCGATAATGTAATTGAAAGTATCGTTTAACGGGCAAAACAATGTTCAAAATGTGTGTATGTATTGTGCACTATATTAAAAATACACAAAAACAATTGTTTTAAATGTATCCCCTATAAGCGATTAATTAAAAGTTAATCCAATTAAATGCTTAACAAATAAATTATTTTCAATTCTTGTTTTGTGATAAAAAGGCACTCTTTTTCACAATTCATAGAAAAGATGTGCACAAAAAATATGATTATTTCATGTGACAAAAACACATAATGGGATCAAATGATAGTAATTAATGATATTTATTTTCAATGTACGAATCGACACTAAAATTAGATCCACTCTATAGAGGAATCGATAGAAAACGAAAAATATTTCTCTAAATGTAGTAAATTATATGATTCACTACTTATTCTAACTATAATTATTGATCTATAAATCAATTTCAAGAATTATGTAAAACTTATTTCAGAATCCAATTCAACATTTAATTTTCTTAAAAAACAATTTTTATTATATATTTTACGTCACAATTCAAATATCAAATTATATAATTAGACTAATAATTATAAATCAATTGAAACCTATGTTTATATCGTTGGTCTTAAGCTATTTTGTTGCCTTTTATTTATTTATATAGTAATCAAATTATGATAATATTTATCAAATTATACATATATTTCTCAAACCTTCATTATTTCGTAAGACTAATATTTATATAAATTTATATATTTTTGTTGATTTACTAATGGATGTATGAATTGTTGGACAATCGTCTCATAAAACAAACTTATAATTCAATTACTGATAAATTTCATAAAAATGCCTTTATTTCTCATAAATGTTTAAACAATTCACTGATCGTTAAGGTTATAAAAACTTTTCATGAATTTCATTCAATTGCTTATTCCTTACAATAGATCTCTTCAATCGTGTAAACAAAACAAAAATTAATAATTAAAACAATTTGTATTTTAAAAAAATTTATTCAATTATTGGGCAGTTTTTCAATTAAAAATTTGTTGTTTTTGACACTAATTGCGAATCACATTCAGTGCATACACTCTCGAGTGTGTGAAAAGAAAATATGTTTCAAATAAATAAATTTATAACAAAAACTCATTATTATAATCAACAGTTGTTTTCAATTATAATTGAAATCTTAATCTCAATCATCGGAAGCCGTGAGACATCGGTTCAGCAAATCAGATGAAGACATAATCAGTTCCTATCATGTATTTTGTGATAACTTTGTTCCGAAAATCCAAATAATTATTCAAAAATTGAGATTTTTATGAATTGAATTGAGAATTAAATTCTATTCAATGATTGTGTATGAGATTCGAGATAAATATTAACACATTACTATAAAAAAAACTAAATAGAGTAATAATAATAATTATAAATGAGATTTTCTTATGACAACCGATGCCTCACAGCTTCCAAACTATAATTTCATTTCGTTTCATAATTTATAATAATATCCTTTTTTAGTGTATTTAAGATCAGTTATATTTTTCGTTTTTAGTTATATATAAATGTGTTTTTAAAATACGAGAAACAAATCAAATGCGAGAATAATGGCATAACTTTTGGAATAAAAAATATTAATACAAGAAAACAAAAGGAGAGAATATGTTAATAATAATACAATTTAAACTTCAATTAAATAATAGATTTGTTTGTGTTGTGTGATAATCAGAGGTCTTTGAATTTGATACCATTTTTATGCGTTTTATGGATACCATTGGAGTAATTGGTTTTATTGGTTCCGTTGTTGACAATCGTGCCATTCTTCTGGTGTCCGTTCGACACTTGTTCGTAGTCTAGAGAGCACATGGAGGCCAGCGACGGCTTTGGACCGCCTTTGCCACTGGACTTGCATTTGTAGGCGTTTTTATAAAAGTCCCAAAATAGGAACCAGAATAAGACGGCGTGAAAGCCTATCCACCACATGAAACCCCGCGGATAATTGCATTCACGGAACAGTAGTTGAAACGAGTGCACGAATATTAAGACAAATTGGACCTGAAATGAGGGTAAGAGCTTAGTGTTAGTGAGTGGACAGTGATAATTGGTGGACAGTGATAACTGGTGGACAGTGATAACTGGTGGCCAGACAGTGGTGGACATACCATTTGAAATGTTGTCATGTACTTCTTCCACCACAAATACCTATTCATTTGTGGTCCGATCGCAGACAATGCATAATAGATATACATAATAATGTGAACGAAACTGTTGACGAAGGCAAAGAAAGTGCTGTGTCCTCCCGGTGTGAACTTCACGCCCCACCAGACACTCATAGGCATAACTCCGTGATGGATGACGTGAAGTGTGGACACGTGTGTGAACTTCTTGCGCAACACGAAGAATATGGTATCAGAAAACTCTAAGAACTTTGAGATGTAGTACCACCAGCTCAGGTACGCCATGCCTCTGGCCTCGACTGAGTTGGAGTAGTCGACCGGTTGGCACTTATAGTTGTATTTACCAAACCAGCCGTAAATCCCGAGTTTGACGAACATATAAAGACTGATGAAAACCATCGCGAAGTTGTAGAAAACCATTAGAAAACGAATGTTATAAGCGGGCCTGTCCTTCATGAGGGTCGGACCCAGGTATTTGACCAAATATACATAGGACAGGCATATCCCCACCGTTGGCCAGGGAGACTGCATCAACGGCCAGTCGGACACTCGCGGGTCTATTCACGCAAAACACACACAATTCACTCATTATTCACATTATTTGCATTGCATTTGAAATATTTGTATTGATTGGTGGTATAGACTACGAGTGGAGTATATATTGTGTATATAATAGGCGATTGTGATATATATAGTGATTG